TCTCCCTATGAGGAAAGCTCAGAGAGGTGACTTGCCCACCTTCACCCCACCAGTGAGGGAATTTCCTTTTTTTAAAATCACAAACAGATCAGTTGAAACCTTGTCCTGGTTTCACATTCAAGACATTAAATCAGGGCAACTCAAGTCTGAAAGTTCCGGGAGCCACAAAGATACTCACAGCACATGCTGAGGGCCTCAACTTAAGCGTGGTTTCATATACATGCAAATATATATGCAAATATATGTAAATAGATTCTTTCACACTGATGGGCAAGACTACACACAACATACATACATATTTAAGTCAGTACTGCTGGTACTAATAGAATGCAATATTTACCCAATTTCCACCCATTGACAGCACTTTTAATGAGCAATGCCAGTCCAAGAATTTAACTACTAAAATGCATATCAACAGAATACCATTATATTGACTCCTTTTTTGTTTTGGCTTCCACCTGCGGGCCACGTGTTGAGCCTCACGCAAACTCAAACTGCACTGCAGGATGCGGGCCGCATGTGGTTCATAGGCCACATGTTGAGTAGCCCTGCATTAAATGGTAGTTATTGAAGACCAAGATTTCTTCCACAGATCCCCAGCAAAGGACAGAGGGACAAATCCATAATGGGAAAGATATGGAGCACAGAATGCAGGGATTTTATTTACATGAGACCAGCAGCCAGTTAAAGGTAATTAGGCTGAGGGGAAGGTCAAGACAGTGGAAATTGTATTTAGCATAATTATATACAAGTGAAAAAAGTATATTAAAATTGTATCTGCTTGGTTGTAGTCATCTCCCCTCCCCATCCATGTGTAAATTGCATTCATACACTGCAAGCTCTTTGGGATATGCCTTCTTATCTGTTTATCCAGCTCTTAACGTGAGGATGTCACCAATCCCAATACCATTGGAATACAGCATAAGCAGGAATAAACAATTACATTAACACACACTCTCTTAATCAAATGCTGCTATGTGACTATAGGGCTTAAAAAGCTGGGAGATTTTGTAAAGGGAAAAGGTAGGTTGCCCTTTTACTGCATAGACCTGCTAGAAAACTAGCATCTGCAGAATTCCATGGCTCAGAAGGCAGAAGAGGCCCGAGGTACATTCTATTGAAATATATATTTGAAAGAGTATGTGCAGTTCTACCTCTGAGATAAATTCTGGAGAAAAAATTACCTCATAAACTCTGGGCAAACATGTCTCCTGAGTCCACACCCTTTCGATACACTCCCATGACCTCACACACCGGTCACTGCACCAGCCACACTGCATGAAAGAAGGTGCTGAAAGACACTGGGTGCAGGACTTAAAGTGATCACAGCCTGGTCCATTCAAGGGAATCTTGGTTATCTATTGATAAAAGAATTATACACAGATCTTTACAAAAATATTTTAACTAACAAGGAGAAACTCCTTATTTATGCAAAGTATAATTATGTTATTCTGGTTTCAGAAAATTACAGAAATTATGAAAATTACTCCCCTTCTGTAGCTTATTTCGGTAATTAGAAGATCTGAAAAGTAATTTAACTGGCACATTCATAAACTCACTCTTAAGCCCAAAAGCCATGCTGATAACATGTACAGTCACAACAAACAGATGTTGCTTACATAAAGGGAGTACCATCTTGTCTTTAGAACACGGATAGGGCATTAGAAGAATGCCTGGTTTCTTCTCCCAGCTCTGCATTAATTCACTTAAAAATCAGTGAGTGTAAATGAATTTGCTCATTTGTAAAGTGGACATAGTATCTATTTCACAGGTACGATGTGAAACTTAATTATTATCTGTTACCTATATTAAGAGCTTTAGAGCAAAGATGCTCTGCAAGGGGTTGTCATTTTATTACTTTAATTAATATAGTTACTTCACCCGGTTTCCATGTCACATTTACGCCTATTTGGTTACATAAATGTTATTTTAAAATAAAGTAACTCATTCTTTAAGGACTAGTAAATGATTAATACATATTTCAATAAATGCTTAATCAATTTTTACAGATTGTCAGAGAATTCAACAGGTTGCTTATATTCAGGGCTTATAATGGTCTAGAACATCTTCTACTGATGTGCTTGCAACCATTTATAAGACACAGTACTTATGCCTGTAGCATACTTATATCATTTCTTAATCAATCAATCATTCATTAACCTTTGATATGCTATTGATAAATGTAATCTTAATATGAACAATGATCCCTGCTTCAAACACACACAGCCCTCTTCCCCCATTTAAATAGTGTCATAATGTTACAATACCAATCTACAAAGACCAGGAGATTCTAAACACCATTCTTTACTCAACCACTGTGTAATTTTCTTTAGAAAAGTTTGAATTAAGGACAGGCTGTTAGCCTTAAATTTGCATTTCCTGGCTTTCTGTTGGTTTCTATCAAAATTCTCACATTATTTGAACATTTCTCAATGTTAATCTCCTTGTTGGCTTAATAGGGAAAAAAGCTTTTGAGGAAACAAACAATATACCCAAGAGACTAGAAAGGATGCAAAGGTTGCATGCCATGAGAACTTGGAATACTGTGCTGACTAACCACTCTAATGTAAAGCTGATACTATGAATGTAGGTTTACATAATACAAAACATGATTAGATTATGTACTACTCACCTTCGTTCCAGTGGCAACCACAGTATAGCCATCTGCTAATGAATGGTCAACAATAACTTGAGAGGAGACTGGATGGGAGTCCAGGGGAAAATTTACATGTGGTGTAGTAGGTTCTGAACGGGAAATCACTATCTGAAAAAGAAAAAATAACCCTCTCAAAATCATGTCTGCATGTTACTTGTGCGCATACTGAGCAGTGATCCCACAATTTCCTACTATTTTCTGTTTGATAATTAGTACCAAACAGTGCTGTTGCACTAACCCATTTGAAACACATTACAAGTTGGACTTCTCTGGTTCGGCACCCTTGGGACCTGACTGGTCCCAGATTAAGGAATTTTCTGGGCCAGGGGAGGCCCTCAAGGCAGGATCAAGCTCTGTCTACACCATCCCTGACAGATGTCTATCTAACCTGTTCTTAAATATCTCCAGAGAGGGAGATTCCACCACCTCCCTTGGCAATTTATTCCAATATTTGACCACCCTGACAGTTAGGAATTTTTTCCTAATGTCCAATCTAAACCTCCCCTGCTGCACTTTAAGCCCATTACTCCTTGTCCTGTCCTCAGAAACCAAGAGGAACAAATTTTCTCCTTCCTCCTTGTGACACCCTTTTAGATATTTGAAAACCGCTATCATGTCCCCCCTTAATCTTCTTTTTTCCAAACTAAACAAGCCCAGTTCATGAAGCCTGGCTTCATAGGTCATGTTCTCTAAACCTTTAATCATTCTTGTTGCTCTTCTCTGTACCCTTTCCAATTTCTCCACATCTTTCTTGAAATGTGGCGCCCAGAACTGGACACAGTACTCCAGCTGAGGCCTAACTAGTGCAGAGTAGAGCGGCAGAATGACTTCACGAGTTTTGCTTACAACACACCTGTTGATACAACCTAGAATCATATTTGCTTTTTTTGCAACAGCATCACACTGTTGACTCATATTCAACTTGTGGTCCACTATGACCCCTAGATCCCTTTCTGCCATGCTCCTTCCTAGACAGTCGCTTCCCATCTTGTATGTATGGAACTGATTGTTCCTTCCTAAGTGGAGCACTTTGCATTTCTCTTTATTAAACCTCATCCTGTTTACCTCTGACCATTTCTCTAACTTGCTAAGGTCATTTTGAATTATGTCCCTATCCTCCAAAGAAGTTGCAACCCCACCCAGTTTGGTATCATCTGCAAACTTAATAAGCGTACTCTCTATCCCAATATCTACATCATTGATGAAGATGTTGAACAGTATGGGTCCCAAAACAGACCCTTGAGGAACTCCACTTGTTATCCCTTTCCAGCAGGATTTAGAACCGTTAACAACAACTCTCTGACTACGGTTATCCAGCCAATTATGCACCCACCTTATCGTGGCCCTATCTAAGTTATATTTGCCTAGTTTATCAATAAGAATATCATGCGAGACCGTATCAAATGCCTTACTAAAGTCTAGGTATATGACATCCACCGCTTCTCCCTTATCCACAAGGCTCGTTATCTTATCAAAGAAAGCTATCAGATTAGTTTGGCATGACTTGTTCTTCACAAACCCATGCTGGCTATTCCCTATCACTTTATTACCTTCCAAGTGTTTGCATATGATTTCCTTAATTACCTGCTCCATTATCTTCCCTGGGACAGACGTTAAACTGACCGGTCTGTAGTTTCCTGGGTTGTTCTTATTCCCCTTTTTATAGATGGGCACAATATTTGCCCTTTTCCAGTCTTCTGGAATCTCCCCTGTCTGCCATGATTTTTCAAAGATCATAGCTAAAGGCTCAGATACCTCCTCTATCAGCTCCTTGAGTATCCTGGGATGCATTTCATCAGGACCTGGTGACTTGCTGACATCTAACTTTCCTAAGTGATTTTTAACTTGTTCTTTGTGTATCCTATCTTCTAAACTTACCCTCTCTCTGCTTGTATTCACTACGTTAGGCACACCTCCAGACTTCTCGGTGAAGACCGAAACAAAGAAGTCATTGAGCATCTCCGCCATTTCCAAGTTCCCTGTTACTGCTTCTCCCTCCTCGCTAAGCAGTGGGCCTACCCTGTCCTTGGTCTTCCTCTTGCTTTTAATGTATTTATAAAAGGTCTTCTTGTTTCCCTTTATGCCTGTAGCTAGTTTGATCTCATTTTGTGCCTTTGCCTTTCTAATCTTGCCCCTGCATTCCCGTGTTGCTTGCCTATATTCATCCTTTGTTAGTTGTCCTAGTTTCCATTTTTTATATGACTCCTTTTTTATTTTGAGATCGTGCAAGATCTCCTTGTTAAGCCAAGCTGGTCTTTTGCCATATTTTCTATCTTTCCTACACAGCGGAATTGTTTGCTTTTGGGCCCTTAACAACGTCCCTTTGAAATACTTCCAACTCTCCTCAGTTGTTTTTCCCTTCAGTCTTGCTTCCCATGGGACCTTACCTACAAGTTCTCTGAGCTTATCAAAATCTGCCTTCCTGAAATCCATTACCTCAATTGTGCTGGTCTCCCTTCTACCTTTCCTTAAGATCATGAACTCTATTATTTCGTGATCACTGTCCCCTATACTGTCTTCCACTTTCAAGTTCTCAACTAGTTCCTCCCTATTTGTTAAAACCAAATCCAGAACAGCTTCTCCTCTGGTAGCTTTTTCAACCTTCTGAAACAGAAAGTTGTCTCCAATGCAGTCCAGAAACTTATTGGATAGCCTGTGCCTCGCTGTGTTAGTTTCCCAACATATGTCTGGATAGTTGAAGTCTCCCATCACCACCAAATCTTGGGCTTTGGATAGTTTTGTTAATTGTTTAAAAAAGGCCTCATCCACCTCTTCCACCTGGCTAGGTGGCCTGTAGTAGACTCCTAGCATGATATCACCCTCGTTTTTTACCCCTTTTAGCTTAACCCAGAGACTCTCTACACAGCTATCTCCTACGTTCATCTCCACTTCAGTCCAAGTGTGTACATTTTTAATATACAAGGCAACCCCTCCTCCCTTTTTTCCCTGTCTGTCCTTCCTGAGCAAGCCGTACCCTTCCATACCAATATTCCAATCATGCGTCCCATCCCACCAGGTTTCTGTAATACCAATGATATCATAGTTGTATTTATTGGTTAGCAATTCCAGTTATTCCTGCTTATTACCCATACTTCTCGCATTTGTATATAGGCATCTAAGATACTGATTTGATCTTGCCTCCCTGTTGTGCCCTGACCCTCGTTTCTCCTTGCCATTATAGGCCGTAGTCCCCCCCATTTCCAACCCATCTCCCAGTCCCGCACATTCAGCACTTACCTATGGGCTTTGCTCACCTGCCCCCGTCGAACCTAGTTTAAAGCCCTCCTCACAAGGTTAGCCAGTCTGTGTCCAAATATCAGACCCAGCTGAGCCACACACCAGCTCCCTGCCCCGCCTCACAGCCCAACTGACTTGCGTGCCAGCTCATGTGCTCTCACTCTCCCTGAAACATGCTGGGACTCTCAGATCCTGGAACATCCATGGTCATGACGGACTATGGATGTTGCTGGACCACAGAATCCCAGATTTTAGAGGTGCAACCTGTATGAAGCAATAAAGTCACTCTTTGTAACACATGCTTTCCTTAAGCAAAGCAACAGCAGGACTGCCTGAAAGACTTTTATAATATAGCACATTTCTAATATTAAGAAGGAATCATCCCAGGCTGTGTCTACACTGGCATGAATTTCCAGAAATGCTTAAAACAGAATAGTTTTCGTTATAAGTATTTCCGGAAAAAGAGCGTCTACACTGGCAGGCTGCTTTTCCGGAAAAGCCCTTTTTCCGGAAAAGCATCTGTGGCCAATGTAGACACGCTTTTCCGGAAAAGAGCCCCGATCGTCATTTTCGCGATCGGGGCTTTTTTCCGGAAAAGACTACTGGGCTGTCTACACTGGCCCTTTTCTGGAACAGTTTTCCGGAATAGGGACTTATGCCCGAGCGGGAGCAGCATAGCTTTTCCGGAATAGCGGCTGATTTTGTACAGTAGAGCGTCG